CCCCCCCCCCCCCCTCAAAAAAATAGAGCTGGTTTAGTTGGAGAATTTTCATAGAGAGAGGACTCATATTTATTTTTAGCAATTTATCACTTGGTTGGTATTAGACTATAAAATATCTATGATATGTTCAGTAAAAACTTATTTTTATGTAATTATTTTCACTTTCTTTACAAGCATCTAAATGTACGAATATATTGGTTATAAATACCACGCTACCCTTCCTTCCCCCTCCAAACCTCCAAATGAAAAAAAGGCTTAGGGCCTAGTACAAAATCAACTCACTGCTACAATACCAGAGAAAGGAAGGCTCTAAAAATCATCTTGAATGCTTTAACATCAATGCCTATAGCAAAGACCGGGCAAAGAAACAAAACACATGCAGAAAGGCAAGTAGTGACACCTCACGAGACCATGCTTAAGAGCTAGTCAATTTGGAACATTGATGTCCACCAGCCGGCGAGCAGACTCAGCAACTAGCATTGGCATGGCATAGGCTATGCTTTTGCAATTTAACGACAAGAGTTTGCCTTCTTGCATGATAGCAGGTGATCTCTAAGTCACTCGTGCACTGACCCTACATCCATCCATGCCCCACAAATACTGGACACTTTCTAAAACTCATACTCTCTTTTTTTCATATTCTTTTGATTTTTTTAAGTCCCCCATTACTGTACTTTTTTTTATTCTTTTCGAAGTTATTTTAAATCTTAGGGGACTCACAATTTTTTCATCTTTTTTACAGCTTTGTTTTTCCCCTTCATTTACTTTTTTTCCAATCAAGGGATTATGCTTTTTATGGGAACCAACATACAAATAAAAAAATTACTACAAATGCAAGCCCATCTAAAACCACAACCAATGCCTTCCACCAATATAAGAATATGTTTTAAAAAGCCCATCTCTATTCAGGAATAAGGAAGAACTCCTGCGATCATAATGAGATACAGTTAATCCACGACTCCAAGAAGCTTTAGAGTTAATAGTTAGACAAAGACTGCACCAAGAAGAGACTTAATATTTTTAAATAATCAAGAGTAGATATACAAAAGAAAAAGACAAAGGGCAGGGGCAACTCCTGTGCACAAATAGCAGTGACTTATCAATATGAATATTTGAATATGCATTTGTAGGGTGAAGCAATATGCCTCAAAACGGTATGAGGCATAAACCTCAAAGTTTATACAAACCTTCCTTTACATGTCCAAACTACTTGAACAATCTAAATCCTAGTATCAGTCATACAGAAAATTTATTTAAAATTAAGTCATAAACCACTATCATAATATTAACTCTTAAAAAAATTAAAGATCTTTTCCACATTAATTTAGAAAAAAAAGTTGTCTTTTCACAATTGAAATAAGGGGAAGAAATAATTAGAGATATAGATGTTTTAGAGCAATTTACATAAGAATAATAAAAGATTTGTTATTTCTGTTGTTTTTTCCTTATCGTTCAAACCAAAAGGAAAGAAGATCTGAACCATGTTGTAAAGAAAGAGAATAGTTCTACTACTGAGCTACAAAGCTACTTATAGTAGCTCATTAGCTTTGCTTCCCTACAAGAAATTTTTGACACCCCTGCCGGAGCACAGAGTAGTTTGTATATGTATGTTATGTGAAATAAATGAACTTTATAAGAAGATCTATAAACATAAACAAATACAAAATAAAAGTGGAACTTTGATTATTACATTGCCCACAAAGATTGATCGTGAATCAAGTTCTTCCTTGTTTGCCTGAGAAGCAGCACTTGCCGGATCTGCAAGAAACAAGTGAATCAATTGGTTGGATTAGGGACAAGAAGAGAACAACAAAGAATATGTAATCCCAAATCACTAATAGAGTAATAATATATCCACAAATTCACTTCTGAGAAAAATAACTCCTTCCCAATTGCACATTTTGATTTACTAACTTATTTGAAATACAATCATACACAGAGTAGCTACCCTTCCCCTTTCACCTCAGTAACAAAATAGCACATGGAGATAACTCAAATATAGATCTAGACCACAGATAAACAATTTCGAAGATGCGCATAGAATGATATAATATAAGATTGAAAACTAATCAATGCCTGAAAAACAAAATCATCACCTTGAGCAGCGCCCATCTCCTTCTCAACTTTGGCTTGCATCTCCCGAAGAGCAGCAGCCTCGTCCTCCATCTCCTTCAGCCGCTTCTTCATCTCATCCAATTCCTGGAGCTGCCAAATCAACCACAAAGAAACAAATCGACGAACAAGTAACAGAAACAGATCAATCTCCGAGAGGTTTTTTCGCACGCCAACGATCATATCCGTTGTAAAGCAGATGAAAACAGGGAGTACCTTGACGGCGTCATCGTCGGCGGCCGCCATATCGACATCGGCGCCGTGATGCTCGATTTCTTCGCCTTCGACGGGGATTTCTCCTCCGTAGACCTCGTGCTCCTCTTCATCCATGTTGTCGTCGCTCTTTCGGCCACCCAATCAGATCTGATTTGGAATTCTGAAGAGATTTTTCTGTTATTATATGTAAAAAAAAAGGAAAATGCTATGTGTACCGAGATTTTGTACACCTGGTACACAATATAAAAGGTCAACCCCCACCCCCATATCCCTCTCACCCCCTAAGGAGATGTTTGTTTTTCTGCCAGAAGATCTTCTGGCGTCTTTTGTCTGCGTCGCGCAGACGATAGACTCTGCAGATTGTTTGTTTTTTGGAAGACATTTCACTCAAAAAGGTCTTCCTGACATCTTCTTGGAGAAGACATTAACCAATGTCTTCTAACATCTTCTAACATCTTCTCTTTTTTTTTCTACTTCTCTTCACCACCACAACCGTCCACCGCCACCGTCCACCACTACCACCGTCCACCATCACCGTCACCGTCCA